GGTTCAGATAGACATGGAATTTTTTAATGTTTTTAAAGAAAAAATGTACCAATAAAACATATATTAAAAAAAAGAAAAGAATCCTGACCAGCTCAAGGTCAACTAAGCCTTCCATCTTTCATTCATATACAGAATATCATTCATCATAAGGATCATCATAATTTCATGGTATATGAAAAATATCTCTCTGTAAAAAACCCTAAAAATCATAGTATATATATGGTCAAGTTCAATCTGAAATTGCCAGAACCTACAAGCAAAATCCTTCCTTCCTTCCTTCCTTCCTTCCTTCCTTCTTGATTCTTCAATGGCAACATTATTTTCTATCTCATTTTTTTTGTTAACAAGAACACAAATTTTACCAAGATCAAATAGCAGGATTTCTTTGAACATAGTTTGTGAATATCAAAGGATTCAGAAAACTTTATTTTACAAAAACATTATAACTAACACATCAATTTAATAATAAATAAAATACACACTGCTAATATAAACTATCATTTTGTAAAGTAATACTTTTCATAATCAATATTCACTTTGAATTCTTATTCTTATTAATAAATCAAAAGCTTTTGTCAAATTCTGAAAGAACATATCCATTTTATGATCAAGTATTCCAGCCATCACAAGTTGTTATGTCACAATCTCTCTAACTCACACTGAACTCTTCCTGATCATACAATTACTTTGATATGAAGAAAATTGGAATTTCTAGGGAGAGTAAAAACATATTTTAATGTTTATAATTTATTATCTTTTCCACCATATAAAGGAACAGGAATAAAACATGCTATTTTCTGACAGAAAATTGTTAAAAGTTCAGAACCAAGTCAAAATGTTTTGGTACCTGAAGCAGAATCAAAAGTCTATCTATTTGTGCCAAGATATTACGCACAATTTATTACTCTTGTGTGATATTCAAACTCTGCCACTCTGGTGCCAAATAATAGACGCCGTCCTATATAAATGATTTCCTGAATTCCTTCTTATATCTTTTTGACCAGAAAGAGTGTGATAGGGATAACAGATTAGCCCAAACAGCTAAAATCTAAATGGATGTCATAGTAATCAGAAAACACAGCAAGTATAAATGTGCAACTTCACTTTTTATTTAGTGAAACGTCAGCATGCAACTTGAAATCCGTGTAATTTTTCTGTGGTTAATGTTCTCATAAATACTTCCCTTCACAGTGAAACAGATGTTCAATCATGGATTTCCTTCTTAGTTGGAACTAGGCACAATTTAAATGCTGGAAAATCTTTCTTTTATAGCTCCAAGGCTACATTAACATCTACAAAGAAAAGGGGCAGACACTAATATTGGAAGTTGCATGAAGCACAGCAGATGTAGAACATCGTATTAAAGAGTTCTTCTGTTACATGACAATCTCTCAGGAGTACTGACATCTGTATTAAAAACTCTGTAGCTGAAACCCAAGACTGAGCCTCAAGTATTATAACAAACAAAAAACAACAAACAATCTATAATTCTCAGTAATTGTGACTGGAGTTACTTAAAACAATTCTTTACAAAACCAATTTTGATTGTAGGCTGTGGTATATATCAGAAGCATAGGTCTTTAAAAGTTAAACAGGAAATGAAACATGCATGATGATCACCAATAATGAGCTGGGTGAGATGTTATTTCTCACTGTTTATGTCACCTGCAACTCTTTCCTCTCTCAAAAGCTATCTTACGATTGCTAAGGCTGGTACAGTTTCTTTTGAAAAAAAAAAAGTCTATTCACCAAGATGGGAAGAGAACAAAGGAAACTCAGAACATTATTTGAAGGCTACCAACAAGACACAATTGAATGCATGAAAGGCAGGCATTTCTAGTGCCATTTTGAATGATATTTTTCAGCCCTTATAAAAGAGACAGAGCTTGCAAAAGTAGTAGCAAGGGGAAATGCTTAAACAATTAGCTTTCCCCCCTTTGCCTTGCTTTTTACTTCAGTGTTACAACAGCTATTGCTGGCTGCATTGTTCCTTCATATTCTTTCAAGTTTCCCACCTACCTGCCCCAAACCTAGCCAAGTGTAATATATAATGATAGTCCAACTCCATTCTCTTAACCCCTTTGGAGCAGGGGTTGTGGAGGTGGTGCAGGTTCCCTAAAATAGCCCTGTCTCTAAATGGAGCAAACTTATATTTATTTATCTACAAAGCATTCTTACTCTGCCCTTTCCCATGCAGTAATAAAGTTTCAAAGAAGAAAAAGCTTCCCATGATACCAGGAGAAGCTTTCATCATCTGATTTTTATTTATAAATATTAAAAGGTTTATCTACTGCCTCCCATAAAATATCTCAAAGGACCTTGCAATCAAATTCAAAAAAGGATAAAGCAACATCAAATAAAAAGTTATTGTAAAAGTGGTACATTAAAAATGGATAGGAAATAAAAACCTGTCTCTACTACTGAAACAAGAAAGATGTAATTGGAAATATGATGTTCCTCAGTTATTGGGGAGAGAGCTTTCCAAAGAAACCCCAAAGAACTGGCCTTTTCATGAATGACCATAAGAAGACAATCAACATTCATGGCATACCAAATAGATTCTCCTGGATGGGGTTGAGTACAAATTGGAGGAGGTGATCCTCCAAGTAACCAGTGCCACACCCTGTAAACACAACAATTTGATTACATTTAGGAAAAAAATAAAGAATTGGTACAGAGCCTGATCAAAGATATTATGCGTTATACTGGTGTCTACTAGCCAGCACTTGGGCCATGACATTCTGGACATTATATTACATTCCCTAAATCCTAATGGAAACTTTTAGATGATCCTCAAAAGCAGTCCCATGCAGAATGCATTGCAATAGAACAAACAGGTGTGGTGAGAGCATTGGATTTTGAGAGGGTCACAACTGAAGTACCAGATGAAACTGGGCAAACACAAGTTAACTATGGTATCTGTCTGCCTATTTAACAATAGCTATATTTCCAAGAAAACCCCCAAATCATGGACTTGCTTTTTCAGATGCAATGTCACCCCATCAAGAAACAGGATCAGGCATACGGTGTAGCAGAGAATCTATAAAAAAACCCTCTCTCACTTGGGTTCAATTTCAGGCTATTTTGTCCTGTCAACACTCTCATAGTGTTGACTGGAATAAGACATTAACAATCTCTCTTGAATAGACTGGGATGGCAATGTACAATCAAATTATTATCAGCATATTTATGTCTTTATTTAATTGTTTGTCAATTAGTACAAGGAAACAAGTATCAGTATAGATATAGACATGGACACATGAAAAAAATGGCACAAATAAATAGATATCAATAGGCAAAACATAGCCATAAACACATAAAATGATTACATATAAATGGGGACAGTAAAGGTAAAGGTTCCCCTCACACATATGTGCTAATCATTCCTGGCTCTAGGGGGCGGTGCTCAACTCCGTTTCAAAGAGCCAGCACTGTCCAAAGATGTCTCCCTGGTCATGTGGCCAGCATGACTAAACACCAAAGGCACATGGAATGCTGTTATCTTTCCACCAAAGGTGGTCCCTATTTTTTCTACTTGCATTTTTTACCTGTTTCGAACCACTAGGTTGGCAGAAGCTGGGCAAGTAATAGGAGCTCACCCCGTTACGCAGCACTAGGGATTCAAACCGGTGAACTGCCAATCTTTCGATTTACAAGCTCAGCGTCTTAGCCACTGAGCCACCACATCCCAGTTTGTTATAGTCCTATAAAACTGTTTAGGAAGCCAGGTGTGGATCAAGCCAAGAAGTTTCCAGTTACAGCCACGCTATCCACTTCCTGAGCTCCAAAGTCAAAAAGAGCCCAAACAATCCCTTTTAAGCACCCACCAGAAAAAAAAAAATTCACCCATAAAGAACCTGAGTGGGCTATCTTAATCAGCCTGTTCATCCTACAGGATTTCATGCTAATTGTCAATCTCATTTGGCCTGGACAGTGAGCAGGTGGGAATTCCTTTCATATCCATATCACTACCCAAAAGTAATGTGAGGTCCAAAATGTGGCTACCTATACAGCCTTGTAGAAGGAAGGTGATTTATGTGGTATTCTATTCCAAGGATATTTAGGGCTTTATATAACAGTAATTAAAAAAACTTAAACCTTGAATGAATTGACATTTTTGTCAGGAGGAGAAAAAATAGTAGATTCTGCCAATGACAGATGCTTTCTCCATTGATATAATTTTAAAATTAGTGTGCAAAGTGCAAGTAATGGCTCTCACCCTTCAGGCATGCTCAACTTCTCATTTTTTTTACTAACTAGAAATATTTTTTTTAAAAAAATCAGCTTCACTCACATTAGGTGAAGGGTGATTACCAGGACTCTATATAACCATTATATCTTTCCTTATGGAAAGATTTTTTTTTAAACCACATGTGCTACTTTAGATGGCTGATAGAAGCTCTGATATTTTTAATATATCATAAAGAGTTTAAGGCACACTTTGTTGTCTAAAACTGCTCACTGAGAGCAGGGATTTTAATCAGAAATTGTGAAACACTACTTAGTTAAATAGTCAGCATACTTAAACAGAGTAAAAGATGCATGTTTCTACTCTGATATTATTAAAGTGGATTTATTAATATTAATTTTGCACTGAGAAAATTAAATCTTTTAGAAATGCAATTGCTTAATGCTTAAGACTTAATTTATTATGTACAAAGCAGAAAGTCCAGGCTGTTTTGAGTAACAAATTCACACTTTTCAAAACATGCTTTAGAAAGATAAAATAAACAGAACTGAATTAAAAAAAAATCATCTAGATTATTGCTTTGCTTTTCTACTAAGAATTCAGAGAACTTAAAGAGTACAATACAGCCGATGGCATAATAGACAAAATGAAATCCTTATTCTCCAAATAACTGGAAAATTATGCTGGATGTTAACTGGACAATTAAAGAAAAAAAGTAGAAAGGCATAGACGTGACATCAATCTCTTTTCATCCCTTGTTACAAAATAACTTCTAGGTATTGCACAGAATTTGTAAAGGATGGTGGCTTACCAGCACATTTTGTCCTTGTTGTGAGAGGAGGCCCAGGGGGTCCAGTTCCCCCTTCTCCAGGACGGGTAAGAAGGACTCTGATCTCATATTCCACATCAGGGTCTAGATGCCATAACTTGTAATTGGGAGAATCCACAATGTGGGTTTCGGCCCAATTCCCATTGGTTGTACGGTATTCTACCTCTTTCAGGATGATGGGCCCATCACCGATGATGGAGTTGGCATTTGGTTTGATCCATAGGTACGTGGCTCCAACTGCTAGAAGTTCTGGAGGAGCAATAGGAGTGGGTGGTTCTGAAAGAAGTAACAACAAGAAGAGATCTATAAAAAACTCTGAGGTGGGTTTTTGTTTGTTTGTTTGTTTGCTCACTCTGTTTGAAAAGGTATTGTGCAATGTAATAGGTTATTTTCAAGCATTACCTAGAGGAAAGAAAAGGAGAAATAGAAATAATTTATTTATTAAACTACTCATCCAGACTTTAGCACTGGAACAAATTGTTTTATTTTCAAGAAATTGTTTATGTAGAAGAAGCAACTCCTTTGATAAATCATACCTCTCAAATAATCATGTTTGAAATAATTTTGTAGTCGTGTTCAGGTGACCTACCCAGTACAAAGAATAAAATTGCAGGGACTTCATTAACTTTCAGGATAAATTCTGAACTGAACTTGCATGCACACAAATTCTCTACCAGTATTTTTCCATCTGGCAATCTTCAGATGTATTGCGACTTTAATTTCTGAAACCTCTAGTGGTGCTCATGCTGATTATACTGTATATTCTGGGAGTTGCAGTCCTAACAAATCTGAAAAAACCAAGTTGGGAAAAGCTGCTGTTTTCAACAGGCTCTGCCAAAATAGTCAAAAGAATCCTACAAATCCATAATTTCACTAATAAGTAATCCCTGTTTATAAATAATTATGAATGCATATAAACTGAGGACCAATTTGTGTGATAGATATACTTTATAAAGATATAAATATACACTTTATGAGTACATTTACATTTTCACTCTATTCTTTTCACTTTACTCTTTTTACAATCATATTGGTATTAAACCTTTAATCATGTCACAATTATTAAGTCACCTAATGCCAAAGAAACATATTGTCCATGTAAATATATAATTATCATGCTTAGCACCTTTTCTGGCAAATTTCTCCATTCCTGGAAGATGGAATTATTTTTTGTAGATAAATGAGAATGCTGCTAAAAGTGAAGGGGCATAGGAAAACTAGGGGTAGGGGTAGACATAATATTCCAAGAGTAGACACACAAAACATTTACATTCAGTCTGAGTTCCTGCACAAACATAGGGATCTTTTATCCTTTGTCCCAACTGAATCATCATCAACATGCCTCAAACTTGCATTGTCCCAAACCAGATCCATGAATATTAATAAACGATTCTCCTTCTGGCAATGTAAACTGTAATTGCGTAGAGCTTAATATGAACTGGGGCCACAGCATGTAATAAATATTAAAGACTTCTTACATTCCCCTCATATTCCCAGATCCTAGTCTAAATCTGGTCCCTGAAACAAAAGTTCTCAATAAAATGAAATTAGCAGAAAAATGCTGTACAGGAAGCAGCAATACGTACACAATAATCCATGTCTATGTCCATTAGAAAAGATGTACATACCTTATAGGTCTTATTCTGTTAACTCTGGGATCTAATGACTAAGAACTTGTCCTTAACTCACAGATTAATTATCTTATGGATCACAGTGAGGGTTCAAACGGAAGCAATCTGTGGGGCAATCTGAATACAAAGGGGGGTTATTTTCAGTGTTTGTGGAGATGCTTATCACACTTGTCAGGACATCCTTAAATCAAACAAGCCTTTCTGTGATTACAAGATCAAGAAAAGTTGTAGCTTCCTTCAGGAGCAACTGACAGGTTTGACGAACATGCCTACCTAGGGCTCTAAATCACATTTATCCTCTCAAAACTGCATCACCATACAGCTGCTATTATTTATTCAGCATATTGGTGAAAACTACTGCTTCCCTTGAAGTAAAGGGAAATTATTTTTAAGAGAAACTGCTGTGATAGAAGGAAGAACATCGATTTTAAGATTTTTTAAAAAGTTTTAAAAAGTTTTTTGGGGGGATTTTTTAGTATTTGGAGAGCCAGGATTATTTGTGGCCTTTAGATAATTTTGAGGAAAATATATACATATAAGGTGACTCTATAAAGGCACTTAGTAAGGTGACTATGTCTCCTATGATAGAGATGACACTGACCTCTTTTGTTTTAAATGTGATCCTTCCAATTAGAATAACTGCATCACTCGGTGGAATTAGCATTTTAAAAAGGTCTGATGAGACCATTTTACTGAATTATTTATGCCTGGTTTACTAAAGCCACAGTAAGTAGAAAAGCAAGAGGTTCATATGTATATGTGTTAGGTAAAAGCATATATTAACAAATTAAAACACCCAGAGAACATGGATAAACTAAGTATTCTGACTGAATGTGGTTAGCCACACAGAGTTAAAAGAAACACTCACAGAAACTAAAGCATGAAATTGATAATAATGATAAAAGTCCTACACTTGTAAAATAACTGAAATATGTTTATTTTTATTCTACCAGAATAAAACAAAAAATAAAATCATAAAATAATTATTTCTGCTGCTTATATTCTTCTATTTTAAAATTTAAAATAGAAAAACCTGTTTTTTTTCTCTCAATTTCTCTTAAATATTAATTTGCTTTTCATAACTTGTGGCTATACATACCCTGTGCATTTAGTACACTGATCTAGATAAATGAGAGCAATTGAAAGAAATCAATTATTTCAATGTGCTGTATAAACCCAATTCTCAAGCACAAATTCTTCAGTGGCTCTGTCAAATAAATTATCACACCAGCATTTGTAACTATACTACATTGTTATGACATGCTTGATAAAATAAGAATTTGCAGTGTTATGCCTCACATCTACCAAAATCACATTTCTTTCATATTTCTGAACAAGTTTGATTTCAAGAACCTTAATAAAATATGTACAGGAAATAAATACTCCACCCTCATTTCATGAATACATCCAGATATAAACTTATGCTCTACTAAATTCTAAGCCATGGTTTGTTTTGTTTTCATTCCTGTTGAAATTTCCAACTTCACTTTTTCTTCCATAGCCTAGATGAAAGGCCACAGAAAGTTTATTAAAAAGTTGGTGAAATGCAGAGAAATGGGGGAAAAACAACAAAGCTTAGCTCAGGGGTCTGCAACCTTAAACACTCAAAGAGACATTTGGACCGTTTCCCATAGAAAAGAAAACACTGGGAGCCACAAAACCCTTCCTGTGCCTGACTATTTCTTGAGCAGCCACAAAACTAGCATATGTAATTGAATTAAACATTCTGTTTTCTTCTGAAATGTAACTTTTCTTGGATTTATCCATGGTTGGCCTAACAGGGGTTGAATAGCTCAATGAATCACATGCTGGCGGGTGTCGCACATTGGCAGTTGTGATACATTTTCAGTGACAGGGAGCCACAGCAGAGGGGTGAAAGAGCCACATGCAGTTCCAGAATTCCAGGTTGCTGACCCCTGGCTTAGCTGTATGGTGACAATGGCTACAAAAACCTTACATAACTTACCTAACCTGTTAGTCCTGATGAAGGCTACAGAATCCTTCATTTACCTCCTAGATTAGAACCATTTTTTTTAGTTGATTATGGCTTCCTAGGAGATGATATGCAATTGGATTCTGACAATGATGAATTTTTCTTTGACAGATTATTGTTCCCATCTACATTTAAGCAGGCAATGATTTGCTTCCTTTCCAAGAAACCATCGGTAGATTTGACTGTCCTGGGCTATTTGTGTCCTATTTTCAACCTTCTCTTTTTAAAAGGAAGGTTTATAGGTGCCATTTTCTTTCTGTTTTCGGAGCTGGGTACAGGACAGAAATGGCATGATCACTTGTAATTGTGGATGTTCTCTGGTGGAAAAATAATGGCTGCTACATCTCTCCTGGTTCTCCTTGATTTCTTAATGTCTTTCAATAGCATTGATCATGAAATAATTTGGGTTTTAGAAGTGGGTGACACTATATTAAACTAGTTCCCATTCTTCTCTTCAGGGCTGGTTCCAGTCAGTGTTGATTTAGGGGAGTGGGAGGTCTATCCCACAGTCCCTGATTTGTTGCATGCCTCAGGGCTCAACGTTGTCCTCATTAGTGTCACCTACATGAAGCCATTGGGTGAGGTCATCTGACAACACATGCTGTGTGCTGATAATACTCAGTTTTACATCTCTACCCTGGGTCAACCAAATGATGTTGTGGAGGCTCCATCTCAGTGTTTGGATGCTGTGGGGAAGATGGGAAGAACAGGTTGCAAGTCAGCCCTAATAAGACTAATTGACTTTGGGTTTTAGGACCAGGTTCCAGGTCCTTCATGTCTTGATTTGGGTGGTATTGCACTACCCCAAACAAAATGAATGATCTGGAGGTCATGGCTCCTGTTCAAGGAACAGGTGGCAGCTATGGGCAGGAGGGCTTTTTTACAATGAAAATAGCTGCCACCTATTTTTCATGTATGCAGCTAGACTGAGAGGCTTTGCTCACAGACCCTTATACTTAGTCATATGCAGGTGAATTATTGCAATATGCTATACTAAGGGCTGCCCATGAAAAGCATCTGGAAGCTATAGTTAGTTCAAAATGCAGCAGTGCAAGCAGTAATGAGTACTTTTCACTAAACATATACTTCTGTATTGACTACCAATATGCTTTCAGGTGCTTTCAGGTGCAATTCTTGTGACCACCTATAAAGACCTTCATGGTAGGGGGCTGGGTTATTTGATCATCTCTCCCGAATGACTTCTACCTGTCCTGTTAGATCCAACAGGAGAGATATGGCATGGATAATATCATTAAAGGAATGCCATCTTGCAGGACTTGGGAAACAAACTCTTTGTGTTGCAATGCCTGTCCTTTGGAATCTCCCTTCAGAGACTAGACCTTGCCTAACCCTGAAGAAAAGGCTGTGTGCTCAGGAATGTGATTGGATTAAGAGCCGTGGTGGTGCAGTAGTTAGACTGCAGTACTGCAGGCTACCTCTTCTGACTGCCAGCTGCCTGCAATTTGGCAGTTTGAATCTCACCAGGCTCAAGGTTGACTTAGTCTTCCATCCTTCTGAGGTCAGTAAAATGAGGACCCAGATTGTTGGGGGCAATATGCTGACTCTGTAAACCACTTCGAGAGGGCTGTAAAGCACTGTGAAGCAGTATATAAATCTAAATGCTATTGCTAAATGCTATTGTTAGTTACAGC